GGTCTCTACGGCTCCGCTCCTCAATAACACCTCAGTGTTCCATTTGACACTGCTGCCTCTCAAGCGAATTGACACAACGCGACAACGTCCTGAAACAAGCACGTCTCTCTACCCCACACCCACTCCACCAACCGCAGTAGAACAAACAACAAAAGAACCGAGAAAACAAATTACAAAAAAGTAGCAAAACCCCGGAGCTGTTATGCACCACGGTCGAAGTCATGGAGTGCGCTCAGAAAAAAACAGGAAAAGTGGCATCGGATGGGGAAAAAAGCACCCAGATGACAGAAACACAAAATAAAATATCATTAAAGATGGGTCCAATTTCACTGGCACACTGTCCTCTACTGGTGGACAGGCACAAGTATCCATTGCGCACCAAAAACAAGAAACAAACAAAGAAAATAGGCATCATGGGAATTATCCCATGCCACGAGAGAGGAAGGCAAACAAAAACAAAGGAATAGTACACATAAAACAATGAAGCCCCGCATTGTTAATACCCATCAGAAAAACAGCGCGAGTGCTGCTGCCACACCCACACAGAGCACCAGCAAATGCGAACGGGTTACGGTAGAAGCTGCATCACCAGCTGCACACCTGTTTGACTGCGAGGTGCACCTGTTGGTCACACCACATGTGGCTTCCAGCAGCTGTGGATTGGCGGCGCGTGCGGCCTCCACCAGCGTTGTGCTCGTCCACGTGTCTGGGAGGCAGCCGCAGAATGAGTTGCCACTGATATCCAACTGGATGTTGCGGGTGCTGAAGCTCCCAAATGACTTGGAGAGAGCGCCACTCATTCGGTTGTTGCTGAAGTCCACTGAGGTCAGAGCTGGCATTGACGATGCTTTCCAGTTGGGCAAGCCCCTGCAGACGTTTGTTCCGCTTATTGCGACCGAGACAAGACTCCGCATTCCGTTCCAAGAGTCAGGGATACTGCCGCCCACGCCCGTCATGCTCAGGTCAAGCTTCTCCAGCAGTACGAGGGCAGCCCAACTAGACGGGAGGTTGCCGCGGACACTCCCCAGGCCGCGCAGGTTGATCTCACGCACCCTCACACTTGCACCGTCAATATTGTTGCGAAGCTCGGGGAGCTGGCCGGAGAGAGTGGAGCTGGCGCCTGCGATGGTGTTGAGCCGGATCCGCACAAAACCGTCAGTGTCACACACAATGCCAGGGTAGCTGCAGTAGTCTGTGCCCACCCACCGTTGTGCCAGGTTCGGGATTGTCTTTACGAAGCCGTCCAAGAAGCGCTGCGTGGCGGGGTTAATGATCACGCTCTGGGCTTCCACGCGTGGTATCGACACGCCCATCACCAGAAGCAGTAACAGCAGGGCTGCTACAGCAGACCGGTGTGGGTGGTTTGTCATTATGCTGGTGTTTGGTATTTTGGGTAGCTTTTACTTACTTGATCTATCCACAGCAAGAGGGAAATAACAAAAGAGAGAGAGAGAGAGGGGGTGGTTACGGTGAGGTGCGAGAGGGCACTGGAGTGCTCTCCATGTATGCGCCACACCAGGGGCAGCGACATGAAAATACCAAGAAGGGTTATTCAAGTTCCCTAATGAATGTTGGAAAGTTGTATAAAAGTTTGTGTTGGTCCTGATTGTGCTTTTTTTATGTGTGAGTATATTTTGTGTTTTCTTAGTTGTTTTTTTTTGGTGTAGTAGAATGAAGTGTTTTTATTATTATTATCGTTATACATTTTTTTTTTGTTAACCGTAAGAGTATAACCTTAGAAAGATAACATCCGAAAAGAAATGGAAATATTGTTTAAATAATGGTATAAAAGAGTGAAGGAAGAACGATAAGAGGGATTGCGGCGATCCAAAAGGAATTGTGTTTGGGTGTAAGTGCTACTGTGTCGCGATTGTGTAATGCACTACTAAGATGAAATGAAGATCCATTTGACGTGTTGAGAGTACGACATTCTGTAGTTGTTTCTATGAAGGCCTCTATTTATTAAGAGGGGTCTGTAGGAATGTACTATTCCACGAAGTTACCATACACTGCAAAGTTGGCACCGCAGAGGCAAAGGTATGTTATTAGAAATCCGAGCGTACCAAACCCATAACCGAGTGATTTCCGCATTTTGTTGCTCTCAGAGAGGAGCAATGACCTTGGTTTCTTTATTGCGGTGCATCCCAGTTTGAATGGCTTCCACACGCATATGTACTACGATGATCATCATGTTCGAAATTTCCCAGTATGATCTGACGGTTTGGCACCGTTACAATGAGTCCACTATCCCTTAGACCATAGTAGTGCAGATTAAAGAGTTGGCCTCAATGTATGGTAAGTGCACCTGATACGTATCAAAGCAATCAAATGGAGGAATACAGCCACTCAGTTACATGTTTAAGAGCCAAAGGGGAACCTTTTTTTTTTCTTCGTCAGAGTGTACACCCTCATACTTGTAGTAATGGTCTCTTTCCCAAACAAGTTTTATCCATCCAAATGCATCCCTGAATGTTCGCATGGAGTTCTTGGTGTGAATATGGTCTCTTAGTGAAGCAGTGTGAATTGAAGTTGGGGACGCCCCAGTACAGTTGATCCTGAGTAGCAAGAGGAGAAGGAGTAGCACGGGAGCCTATATACCTTTTGTTGTTGCCAAATGCATATTACCGCGTCCCTTTCCTTTTAGCCGTTAAACTGAATATATAGGAGCAAAAAATAATAAAAAGCTTACCTTTTAAACCCCGGCCATGTGTTATGAGGCCAGAGATACAACTGGGTGGTCAATGGTTAATTAGATGAAAGAAGAAGAGAGGGTATCTATATATATATATATATATATATATAGATAGATACAGAGAGAAAGAGAAAGAGAGAGAGAGAGAAAGGCAAAAGAAAGAAAAAATATGTACTGAGAAAGAAAACTCATTCCGTGTAAAGTTAAGCACCTACACGGGAGTGACACATTATGTTTTTCGTTTATCATGCATGTGTACATGTAACTGTGTAAGTATGCATTTCTCGCCAAAGACGATAACACCATCTCGCCGATACCGCACCGTTTAGTTCTTGATCAGGCCTTCACGCTATTCTTCTGTTTTATTATTATTATTAATAACTATTCTTATTATTACTATGCTCATGCATTTAAGCTTCCAAGCATCCACATTGCTGTTGTTGCACACAGCCCACGCATACTTCACGTGCACACATTACAATTTAAACAGATCATTCTTGATTTCGGTGAGCACTTCTTTCCCAGTCTTCTCATCAGTAATTTTACTCATTCATTCTTTCCATTCTCTACTCTTCCTTATCAGCTCATTTGTTTTGTTTAAATACTGTTGGATGTAAACAACAACAACAACAAAAACAACAAAAACAAAAACATTAACATGTACTATTGCCAGGGGTAGAGTTTACTACCACTTGTCCGGTCCTCACTCTATCTTCTTACTTCAGACGCAGTCACGGACAACAAGAGAGAGTGACAGAGGGACAAAGAATGTATGTGGTTCAATGTATATAGATATATGTACGTTTCCCTTGCTATACATATATACCTTCATTTATGGTGGAAGGGTGACGAGTGCACGCTGTTTTGCGACGAGCTCTGCGAGGGCTGGCCAGGTACGGTGTGGCAGCCCAAGCACCCTTCGCTGTGCCGCTTCTGCCCGTTCACGCCGTGCAAGCTCTGCTTCCACTTCCGTCTTCGCTTCCGTTGAGAAGAGCGAGGTGGAGGCGCGGAGTAGCATCTGAACGTGGTCACCCTCCACCACGTGGTGCGCTGGGCCGTGGGCGACGTTCGCATTCGCCCCCGTCATTCGCCCGGCGTTAATAAATGGCGGGTGCTCACTCCCACCATCGTGCAGGATGGAGTGAATGTGAGCTGCGATGAGCGGCTGGAGACCAGCTGCGAGCACCGCGTCTTCCTCCCTCACGAAGGGTGTGTAGACCCCCACTGCGCCAAGTGCTGTTGTGTACACGAGCATCCGTAGCGCGAGTGCAGGGTCGGCACCGGCGCTGGGGTCATACTCATGCGCCCGTAGTGCAGTGACGAGTTGGCCGGTGTGGTGGAGGGCGATCTCGTCAAGTCCCTGCCGTGTTGCCGCGTAGCGAATGGTCTCTGCCAACTCCGCCTCTGACATCTGCGAGAGCGACTCAGCAATATCCAGACGTGTGTTGGGCGGGAGTCGGAGGAAGGCGACGCTGCCGTAGCGATCGGCCACGGCGAAGGTGCGCTCGTCGAGGCAGGCAATGCTCGTCACACTGCGGGGGACATTGTCACGTGCGATCATCATCAGAAATGATAGAGAACCACTACCACTACCACTACTACTAGTACTAGTACTAGTACCACCAGGGTGCACTGTGGCGATAAACAATGATTGGTCAACTGTACCGCAGACAATAAGGAGACGACGTTCTCGTGCGAGTGTACTATTTGGACCACAGCGGAAAAGATCTGATGCATACACAGATGAGGCCCCACCACCACCTGCTGCGGCACCAGGCGGGGTGATAAAAACGGTCTCAATGCAGGTGATACGACTAGGTACATTTGGCAAACGTCGCTTGCGCAGGAATCGTCGCTGGCCCCATGCGTACACATGCAATCCACTCTCCGCACTCATACCCACAAACAGCAGCCCAACCTCCACACATATGTGCAGTGCGGATGGGTAGTCCATTAGCGGTGATGCACGTTCAGAGGTACCATCTGCACTACTACTGCTATCTGATGCCGTGATGAGGGTGTCATGCAGTTGCTCAAGCCGCAGTGTGGGGGAACTACCACCAGGTGCTCCTGGGAGATTTGAGTGACTCACCACAAAGCGAAAGGCACGCAGACGACCTTGGGTCCATGACGCACCAACTCCACACCCACTACCATGAGTATAGTTCTCTGCACATCCCACCACCACCACTGGTTCCCGCCCAAAGTCTTTCACAAAACTGCCAACTGCAGCAGATAATACGGCTTCGCGTTCCTGGAAGTAAACGGGTGGATCAAGTCGATCGGTCCGCCTATTGTACAACTGCAACGTGCTGACGTAGTGGTTAGGGTAATTTAACGATCGTTGAGGCTTGTCCAATGCGATACCCCCGCTAGAAGGAACTGTAGTATTTGACTTCTTGTTGCCGCCCTCTTCATCCAAGGCACTTGCGGCGTCTTCACCCTGATGTCGATGTTGATGCTGTTCGGCAGCAGCAGCAGCAGCAGATGCCGCACGTCGTAAAGCAGCAACACCGTATCCACGATGCTCAGTCCCAACAACCAGCAGATACTCCGGTCGCGTTGGGTGCTGCAGGAGACGACGACCCGCCACAGACAAGGGAGTATGACCAAAACTGTATTCAAGCGATGTTTCCGCCGTACTGGTTCCACCACTCTGTTGTGCGGCAAACAATGATAATGTGTTACCAGCAACACCAAGTACTAATTCCTCCTGCGCTCCACTTGGAACCTTCACCTCCGTTGTCGTAGAAGAAGCAGAAACTGTGAGAGAAGGCGGTGGTCGACGGAAAGATGCGTACATAGCCTGAGGAGAAGGAAAACGCCATGGAACTGTTTTGGGTACACCATCACGAACATCACAGCGCCAGTTAAACTCGCCACACAGGACATAACAGACACGTTCCCCATCACCTGCAATCATCTGACATGGCGCACTCCCACATGTGAGTACAGCTTTGTTCATCACTTTACAAGTGGCAGTATCAAGTTCGCAACGCGTAACAGTCCCATCAATATGCCCTATAAAACAAAAAAGACGTCTCATACCACCTGTTCTACCAAGATAAGTTAAAAGTACAGATACAATAGCAGGTCCCGCTTCAACAGTACCACTAGAATTATTGTTCTCTGCAGTACAGCGAATCGTTTCAAGTGGTTCCCGTAATTTTTTTGGGTTTACAATATATACTTCCTGACTAATTGTAGCAATGGCTGCTAACGAGGACGTTGGCGATGACAGCGATGCTGCACGTGACGCTACACCAAATGTACTTGTCTCATTATTAGGATCATTTAACAACGATATGGCTGGGGCGTGTGGAAATGACGGAATGGCTTCCAATTGCTGGAGTCTTGTTCCACTCATACCCATATCGAAACTGGCAATACCACCTGCTTGAGTGAAGGAAACCACCATTGTGTTACCTGATACAGCAGCAGCAAGTATGCGTTTACCATGTGGATGCATCCAGTTTACACCTTCTGCAACTGGTAAAGCCACAACATCTTCATTATTTTGTTGTTGTTGTTGTTGTTGTTGTTGTTGTTGTTGTTGTTGCAGTTGCGCCACAGAGCGGTAAGGAAGTACCGAGATACAACTTGGTGTAATCTGTACATACCCCACCCCGTGTCGCAGCGATCCAGCACAAATAGTGTGTTCAGATGTAATAAATCCAGAGAGTGTATCTGGTTCTACCTGCCCGGTCAAGGTAAGCGAAAGCACTGTGGTACCTTGCCGCGTTGAGAGCAGCAGTTTGTCGTCCCACACACCTGCAGAAGATCGGAGTGCCTTCCTCCCTGTGTAGCGATGTCCAGTACTATTGTTATTACCGCTAGTAGCCTTTGCGGCTTCCATCTGCATCTCACGCCACCGTTGTTGCATTCCTGTTAAGGAGGCCAGTGGTGTTAAAAAAGTAAATACTGCCGGAAGTGTAAATGAACTTTCTAACCGAGCTGCATAACCGTATCGAGCATGTAATAACACGCTGTCAGAACCACGGCCCACCAATGCGTCAATTTGCACATGTGGCTGTTGTTGTTGTTGTTGTTGTTGTTGTTGATGTCGTTGATTTTTATTGCTATCTTCATCCACATGTTCCTGTTGATGTGGAATAGATGCAACAAAGGAGGTAATTGCCGGAGTGTTTGGATAACTTTCTAATAACATCATATGTCGAAGAGTCTTATGAGGTAAAAAAAGTGGTACCACACGACTATGATGTGGCTGTTGTTTTGATGGACGTTGTAATGTTGAAGGAGGTGGAAGAAGAACAGAGGGACCACCTTTACTCAGTATAGATGGAGGTGGCATTGCATCTTTAGAAGTCCCATTATCTTCCACCATGGCAGGAACAGCCGTATCACCAGTAGTGGAAATACCTTTATTATCCTCTACAAGATATTCATCCTGACGATTACTTCCATGCCGTTGATCTACCATCCGCATTCTTGATAGAATATATTCTTTCTCTTCTCGGTAACCGTCTTTTACGATTTTGTATAAACCATGTGTATGCGCAGACTCACTTGCAGCAAAGATAAAACCACGTCGAAAAAGTGCCATTGTCGTTGTGGGTGGAATGGTATCAAAGTATGTGAGTTTTAACGGTGAAGGTACAGTAATAGGTGGTGGTGGTAAACCACCAAATCCACGAAATTGTTGTTGTTGTTGTTGTTGCTGTACAACCCGTAGGGCATCGTAGGAGCGTTGAACATCCAAAAGTGTAAGACTAACTCGAAACACATCACCTTGATCATCTTGTAATAACATGAAAAAATCATTTCGTACACAAGTCATTGCATGTGATATGATCATTGGATCATATAAGTGTTCACGAAAATCATCACGGCGTGGAAATGGTGCGGCAGTCTTGAAAAGTGAAAGTGGTGTTACCCCTGGTGGTAATAAACCAGAAGAAGAGGAGGAAGAAGAATTACCAGCAGCCCCAGAGGCGGTGCTATTACCAAGAATACCTCCACCATGCAACTGTGGTAATAGATCATACCAAATAATTTCAGAATCTGTACAAACAAGTACACCGCCAGGACCAAAAGGAGCGGCTGGTACTGCAATGATACGATGTGCGGTTGCAGGTACAGAGACAAGGTGTGTACGTTGTACTTGTCGTAATCCAGCTACAAAGGCATAGACAACAAGCTGTTTTGATTGTTGACTGCTATTGTTATTGGTGAATGAAGTAGATCCCGTTTGAGATGAGGGTTGTCCTATTCCTGGATTAACACGTAAGAAAGCCCGTCCACCTGCTACTCCAGATGTTGTTGTTGTTGTTGTTGTTGTTGTTGTTGTATTGGATGATCCATTATTTCCATGTTCTTCTGTGGATGATGTGGAAGAACGTGCCTCTGGTAATTCCTGTTCTAGTGTTACAAAGGTTGGATTTTCCGTAGCTCCATCTAATGCACAAAGAGAGAAAATCATCGTCTGTCGATGAGCTTCAACAGGAGAACCAAATGAAATAACATCCCGTACAGTTTGTCGTCGCTTTACCGCAGCATTACCGTCTGTTTCCCCACCAGCACCAACACCACCAGAGAGTAGTAAATCATCATCCACACTATCTTGCAATACACCTTTACTGTTAAACTCTCCAAGACTGTTGGGTTTCATATGATAATCATCATGTTTGCGGAGTGGAATGAGAACTTTAAGTCGCATTAACGCCGTAGCGAAGACGGCACGTCCAAGTGGATCCACTGCCAATCTCGCTCCTGGTACAGTCAATCGTGCCCCACTACGACCAAGTGCCATTTCACTCACACGAACAAACTTTCCACGTAATGAAGTCACCATAGATGATGATTTCGATGATGTTGTTGTTGTTGTTGCTGCTGATGGATCTGTATTCTCCAATGTTGTTGGATCATGCATAAGACGTGTAGGAGCTGGACGTTCATCCAAATCATAACGAAGTAAAACAAGACATCCCGTTTCAGAAGTAACAGCTAATCGTTGCAGGGCCGCACTCCCACCACCACCAATAGTGTTGTTGTTATTAATATTATTGTTATTATTATTGCCGCTGCTGCTCATACCTCCATTAGATGGTGAATCTAAAATACCACCACCACCACCACCGCTTGTGGAATGAATGCCCGCTGCCGCTACTGTTGGCACTGCAGCGATTTGATAAATGTTTGCAAATAAACGAGTGCTATGTACACATTCCGCTGTGTTTTGATCCACATGCAGGGTCCACAGCTCAAGTGTATCGTGCCGCACCACCACAAAATCCGTCGCCCCTGGAAGAGTAAAGGTGCCAACTACACAGTGAGTAATCTTTTGTGTTGGGATGATGGTTTGATGATATATTAAACTCATATTCGGTTCCTGTTGGTGTTGTTGTGATTGTGATTGTGGGGGTTGCCGCGGTGGCACTTGCGAGGCTACTCGTGCTGCCATGGCTTATAATGCTTCTTTTTGTTCTTTTCTTTTCTTTTTTCTCTTTTTCTTCGTAATTCCCTTCTTTTTCTTTTTTTCCTTCTTCCTTTGTTCTTCTCTTTGTTTCTCTCTTCTTTCACCGGGAGTGTAAATGAATGGGTGTATGTACAAAAGGGGTTTTCTCTTAAACCTTATACGTTCTTTCCTTCTTTTTTGTTTGTTTGCGTTGTTTTTTTTTTCTCTCTCTCTCTCTCTCTCTCTCTTTTTCCCACCTCTCTTTATTTTGTATTAGCCTATATATACACACACGCACCTGCACTTCACTCCTCGCAATCTCCACTCTAATATATATATATATA